AGCATCAATTCCACTTTTATTGATGCAACGCGTAATATTCTCGCTAAGATTTTAAGGTCGGCAACGAATTTATTTCGAAGTTAGATGGATTTGTTAACGGAAGGATTATTTGATTAAATTAATATTTTGTCAATTATTATAACTAGGCTTTTAGATTTTTTTCTCATAGGATGTTGACAGTAAAATATATCAACTAGGCTTCTCGATTTGACAACATATACTGAAAATTTTTCTCTATTCGAACGTAACCGAGTCGAGTGTGGGTAATTGACAAAATATCATCGACAAATAATAATAAAAATCCAATTGACGTAACGGCGGAGAACCGAAAATGAACGAAATTTTGTTCTGCGCAAGGCTAAACGTTGTATTTCAAATAATTATTTTTAATAAATTATCGCCAGTCTGGTCGACTTTAAACATTGAGGAGTGGTTTTTTATTAATTTTTATGTTCATTTGTCATCAATTGTAATCACCAAAAATATATTTCTATATAAAAATCAAAATTCTAACTTAATATAAATGTTTTTAAAAATTAATTTTTGGTTTAACTTGAGTCAATTTAATCTTAACTTTCACCGAGTTAATTTTTTATTTATGCAACTTCTAACTTAACTAATTTTATGAGCAACAACTAACTTTAACTCAACTTAGTTAAAAAAAAAAAATCATTAACTTACCCAACCTTGATAATAATATACGTTCAATAATATATCTACATTAAATATCTTATAAAATATTTATGTTGAATTATACTTATTATATTACTATTTATAAAATGTATGCTGTATCAAAAAATTTTCATCTATGATATATCATTTATATGTGTATTATAAATATGAAAAATCAAAGATGTATCAATGTGACAGCTTACGGAACAGTCTACCTGGTGCGAAAAAGAATGGGTGCGGACTGCGGTCAACTTTACGCCATGAAGTTATTGAAAAAGGCTTCCATCGTGCAGAAGAAGAAGACGACAGAGCACACGAAGACCGAGAGGCAGATCCTGGAGGCCATCCGAGACAGTCCCTTTTTAATAACTCTGTACTACGCGTTTCAGACTAATGAAATGCTCTGTTTAATCTTAGGTAAGCTTCGACGAGAAATTATAAGCAAAATAAGAAAAAAAATTAATAAATATAGCAATTATAGAAATGGATAAAGTAGATTATTTTATTCAATATATATGATAAAAATATCAAAATGTTGAAAAAGCAATCATAATAATTAAAATGATTAAAACGATAAAAATAATTGGTACAATAAAAAAATATTTATTTTGCCTGGCAAAATATTATCTATAATATTATATTATATCATATATATAATTATATTATATATTATATATATTATATTATATTATGTATTATATAACATTATATAATATTATATATTGTATTACATTATATTACGTTATATATTATATATTACATTATATTATATTATATCATATGATATTATATTATATATTTATCAATTAAAAGCAAAACAAAAATACCGTGAAATTCGGATGCAGGAGAGAATTTGGACAAAATATTTTTTTCCACTTGCAGATTATGTTCCTGGTGGTGAGATGTTTACGCATCTGTATAACACTCAATTTGCGGAGAGGGAAGTACGAATTTACGTCGGCGAAATTGTTTTGGCGCTAGAACGTCTCCACGAGGTATGTATTAATAACAAAATATAATAATAATAATAATATGCATAAACAAATAAGTAATTTTTGACAAAAATATTTTATCGGTTCTCCATGTACAAGACAAAAATAATAGTAAAGTATTTTTCGCTTTAATTCCTGACAAGTTTTTTTTATTAAAATTTTAAATTTATTAAATTTAATTAAAAAGTTAATTTAATTTAGTTTGAAATGTAATAGTTGGTTTATATTAAAAATATAATTAACGAATCTCTCTCTCCGTTTTGTCGCAGCTTGGCATAATCTATCGAGACATCAAGCTCGAAAATATTCTGCTGGATAGAGATGGGCATCTCGTATTGACGCATTTCGGTCTCAGCAAGGAATTTTTGCCGCACGAGAGGAACGGCAACGCGCGCACTTACTCATTTTGCGGAACCATCGAATACATGGCCCCGGAAGTGGTGCGAGGTTCCAGCAGCCACGATATTGTAAGTTATCATGAGATATGTTTACACCAGCGGATCTCTCAAGTTAATAACGGAGGGTTTCTACAAAATTATATTTGATTTATAATGAAAATATTTTCGCAAATCGGATTTATGATGATTTTTCAATTTTTTAGCTTACAAATAATTAATATTAATGATTAATTATTAAATAATTAATGTGTAATTAATTTGAACTTAATAATAAAATTTTTACAGTAATATTTATGGTGACGTGTTGTTGAAAAGCGATAAAATGTGGGATATTAAATTAATTTTCGCAAGAAAAATTAATTTCAAATTTTAATAGTTGCGAAATATGTAAGTAAATAAAATATGTGTAAGTGAAAATGAACAGAGGTTTTATTACAATTATAATTATAGAATTAGAAGAAAAACAGTTTCAATAATACGGTAATATAAATAGTAGATTTAATTTCTAGTAACAATTCAATAAACGAAACATTCTATTTAATTAAATTTACAATTATTTTTGTAAAATAAAACAAATTTGTCAAATATACAACTCGAGTTCGAAGGCAAGCTAAAGTTTAGCTCACCCTGTATATATAGGTTCGATAATAATGTACAGCCGCATAAAACATTCAACTTTGATTCATTCCATTTCAATTGTAATCAATGTTTACTGTTATCTAAATAAAATTATATAGATGATTATCTAGATAAAAATTTGGCATCTTATCTTTATGTAGATAATACAAATATGTATTATCTTTACTAAATTATCTAGAACAATTTTTAGATAATTTTGGTTTAGAATCATAGCACATACAAAAATACTTAAATAGTAAAACTTAGGCAGTAAGCGATAAAAATTTATAAATAAAAATATGAATACGTATATTTTTATATCCCTTTCATAATTTACATAAGCAGTCTTAAAAATTATTATCTAGAATTTAGATGAATCGCCATATAATTGTATCTTCTAGAAGATATATTTTAAACAAAATAATCTTGATCTAGCTAATTTAAAAAAATCGTCTAAACACCACACTGATTGTGTTGTATTCATTGATCACCAGAACGATAAACTAAAATAACATTCTCATATAAAATATTCTCGCAGGCTGTCGACTGGTGGAGCGTGGGTGTGCTAACATTTGAATTACTGACCGACACGTCGCCTTTCTCCAAGGATGGCTACAACACCCAGCAGGAGATCTCGAAGAGGATCCTGAAGGACGACTCCACCGCCGAAGCCGAGTAACCTGAGCGACACCGTGTGGGACTTCATCACCCGCTTGCTCGTCAAGGATCCGCGACAGAGGCTGGGCGGCGGGCCACGTGACGCGAAGGAGCTCAAAGAGCATCCGTTTTTCATGGACGCCGCGCCGGATTTCACCTGGGAGGCTCTGGAGAATAAGCGGATCAAACCGCCCATCGTTCCGTTTCGGTGATCAAGCACGAATTGGACATTAGCAACTTCTCCGACGAATTCACGAACATGAACGTCGCCGAGAGCCTGGCGCGACTCATCAACGCCAACAACATTATCGAGAAGGATTTTAGGGTAAATTCTCGTACGTCCTGCTTCCGTTCTATCGAAGATGAAAGTTTGACAATTGCTAGTTATTATAGAGAGCTAATTGTAAGATTTAGATATGATATAATATCTTTTATATATTTAATAATATATTATACACATATATATATATATTATTAAAATATAATGAAATATATTATTTAATAATAATATTTAAATATTTTAATATAATAATATTTTTAAGAAATTCTTAAAACATTTTAGGGTAGCTAATACAAGCCATAAAAGGCTAGCTAATATTTTTTTCATGTGCGATCGGCCAAAACAAAATACATTTAATGTATTTTATGTATATATTATTTAATAATATATTTTGTATTACACGTGCATCCAAAGTGGCACTTTGTGTGCGTGTTTTCTGTGCGGAAAACGGCCGATTTCCCACCTCTATTCTAGCGGCGACGCGGTGAGTGAATAAGCCGCATTCAAAGCCATTGCCTACGGCTGAGCCGCGTTTAAAGTCATTGTCCACGGCTATTCCCGCACCGTGCCGTCGCAAGATGACGGCGTGCGATCGGCCACCTCGCGCACAGAAAACGCGCACAAAGCCACTTTGCCTGCACTTGTAATATAAAATATCGTGTGTATCAAGTGCGGAAAGTTGACAGTTGTTCACTTGTGTGGGGTGGTTGCACGAGCCGAAGGCGACCACCCCACACGAGTGAACAATTGTCAACTTTCCACACTTGATACACAATATACTATTATTTACTTAATATACTTTTTATTTAAATTAATATTCTTCAGAATTTCTTCAAATATTTGTTATACAAGTGTAATAATTATCCAGGGTTATTCGTACGTCGCGCCTTCGATACTATTCAACGACAACGTGGTGAGCAGAGACATCTTCGGCAACAAGCCGTTCCTCGGGTTGTGCTTGCTTCACAGGCACCAGCCGCGGCCTTCCTTCTTCTCCTTGCACGAGATCCGCTTCGACGAGTCCACCTTCTTCCAGACTTACGAGCTGGACCGAACCGGGTCGAGCCTGGGTCACGGCAGCTTCTCGATCTGCCTGCGATGCCGGCACCGCGACACCCGGCAGGAGTACGCTGTGAAGTACGGTGACTGTACGGTGACACAATAATTAAATATAAAAAAAGCTTCTTTTCCTACTCGTCGTATAACAATAATTGCAGTGCTGTCAGTAATACTTTTCACCGGTATTCGTTTATATAATTCATTGAGTTTTCTGTTCTGTTGACACTAGAAGATGCCATTTGACACTTGATCGGCGCAGTGTCACTTCCGGGAAGAAGAGGAGCCGGCCTGCGAGCAGCGGAGCAAAGCAACGCGCAACGTTCCGGTGACGTCGAAGATGACGGCGGTGGCGATGCCTCCCGCGATGGCCCACAACAACAGCGGTGGAATGATACAAGTGATGAACGAGAATAATTTAAGTAAGATAGAGAGATGCGTATCCGTCGTTTTCTTCTCTTCTTCGCTCGAAGCAGTCGCGTCTAATCATATTGATCCGTCTCCGCAGCTTCCTCAACGACACGGCTTACAGAGAAGCCATTGAAAATTCCTCCATATACAATAGCAGATTATGCCGGGAACGACGTCTTCGCATGCCCTTCCTAGATTCGCAAACGGGTAAGATTAATCGCACAGTGGTGGTGATCGTTTTTCGTCTTCACGATGATTGGAGAAGTTGGTGTGTCTGCGCTTTTGGGTGTGATTTACTGATTTATCGACTGGATTTGTTGTATTTCTATAAACACCTGTCTGCAAAATCATATGTTCAAAGTTATTAGACTATAACAATGCTTCGAGTCTGTAACTACTTATTTTGAGGTCAATGAAACTTGACCTTTTGTATCGATAGCATATATATAAATTATAAATAATATATAAACAATAATTTAATTGAATATATGTAGAAAATACACTAAGTGTGTTGCGCAAACTTTCTATGATTTAATCTGAAATTAGTAATGAAAATTCTGTTCTTAATTTGGAGCATTATTTATATTAATACAATTGTAACATCAGTTACAATTAAAGTAATTTCAATTATTTATCTATTTATCTTTGTAATTTATATTTGTGAATAGCTATCTGCAAAATCATATATCAAAGTGATTAGACTGTAACGATAGTTCGAGTCTGTAATTAAATATTTTGAGGTCAATGAAATTTTTGACTTTTTGTATTGATAACATAATTAATTAAATATATATAAATTATAAATGATATAATATATAATAATATATAAATAATAATTTAATTAAATATATAATAATATATAGATAATATATAATTAAATATATGTAAATGATACGCTAATTGTGTTGCGCAACTTTCTATGATTTATTATTGAAATTAATGCAGTTGTAACATCAATTACAATTATAAAAAAATGATATATATATATATCTTTGTTTTTACATGATAATATTTAGGATTATGTAAAACTGCAGGTGTGGCACAGAATCATTCTGCACTTTTTATGTCTTCGAGAGAAAGATTACCAGGATTGTTAAATGGTCAAATTTACACTTATCCAAGCAAAAGATGGCGAAAGAAACGACGGCAATACTTGATGCACTATCTACATCCAAAACGAGGATTAAGAGGTGATACAGAGGATGGAACAGAAGGCATCGAAGCTGTTACGCACATAAATGACGATAGCAAAGATTCAGTAGTACTTAAAGGTAAACAAGAAAGAATAAATATTTTATTTAATTATTTATTTTATTTTATTTAACAAGAAAAGATACAAATTTTATTTAATTTTATTTATATTATTATGTAGAATATATATTTATAATATTTATATATATATATATATATATATATATATATATATATATATATATATATCGCTCTTCATATCTTTTGCATCAAAATTCGACCTTCGAAAGGCTTCGAGAAACTTCGAGAATTTTATATCTGTTTATTTCCTTTGAAAATACTTACACGAATACGGCCACACACATGCGAAAAGTACCGAGACAAAAATAAATATAAATAAAAACATAATAGACGAGACAGAGAGAGACGAAAGACGAGAAGCACAGAGACAAGTATCAAGACTTAAGAGACAAAGGAAATAAACAAATATAAAATTCTCGAAGCTTTTCGAAGGTCGATTTTGTCGCGTACGAATAGAAAAATTGCGATATTAATGAAAAGAAGGAAAAAAGAATTACAGGGTCGTCAAATTTTACTTGTAAGAAAAATAATGAAATTTAGGGCTTCTGGCTCCTGACCGATAATGTTGGAATTGTAATGTCAGAGGCGAGAAAATATATGCTAAAAATTGCATTTTCGAAATAAAAAGATATTTCGATGAGACAGCATTTCAGATAGCTTTAAACTCTTAAACTATTGCCAAAACGATCCTTTTTCCTATATATAATCAATCAACAGCTGTAAAATGATTAAGAATAGTTTTCGAGGTATTTTAAAAGTGATGTAAACGTAATATGTTCCATCGAAATATCTCTTCATTTAAAAACGGCATCTAAGAATTTCCAGCGTACGCTTTCACGCTTCTGACGTCACAATCTGACATAGCCAGGAGTCTTGATTCGATGTCAAAATGAATGTAAAATATTGGTCTTGCGCGCGGTTTTTTGTTTCGCGAGTTCTATATGGATTACTTGTCATAATTAACGATTTGGCGGACTGAAATAGGATCAGTTGCTGTTCTGTGACGACTGTGATCGTGGATACCACATGTATTGTCTGGCTCCTCTTGCGTCACCGCCGGAGGGCTCCTGGTCGTGCCGCTTGTGCTTAGCCGAATTTTATCGCCGTGATTAAGTTCACTCTCTGGGATAGTATATAGATATATACATATATATATATATAAGTCACGGAGCTATTCTTGCTATCGCTGTGGCATACAACGTCTTGGTCGTCTTATTAGGAGAATTAGGAGAGTATTCGCGAGAGCTCACTCGTACACCTAAGATCTCTTCTTTTCGACTGAACTGGCAGCACTAGTTCAGAGTTTATCTTTTTTACTCCACATTGGAGGGAAAGAGATAAGCTCTGAACTAGTGCAGCCAGTTCAGTGAAAAAGAACCAGATAGTATTATATAATACAGACACCCCAAACTTTTGGAGGGGAAAGAAGAAAAAAAAAGGAAAGTTCATTGATCATTATTTATTACAAAATTTATATTGACATATTATTATCAGCTTCTTGTTACATTATGTTGATGATAATAATAATATAATGACGATAATAATTAGAGAAGAATACATTTAGCGTAATCTGTCATTATCTCAGGCACTTGGTGATCTCGACGAGATAAAGATGTAAGGAGGCACATATTTATATATAATTTAATCGAGATAGTTTTTAGAATATATATATAAGTGTATAAAGATACAACTCATATATAATTTGATCGACTGTCAACAGAGTCCTGTAAGGAGAACGAACAGAGAGATTATTAATTTTAAAGGCGAAGACGGAGTTCGATTTACTGATGATCTTAGATTTTACATTCGTGTACCGAACAAAGTGTATTTTTTGCTCATTTTATGAACTGACACATACATACACACACACACACACACACACATATATATATATATATATGTACATATATGTATGTATATGTGTATATGGAGATTTATATATATTACTAATAAACAAACTATAAGAGGTTTAGTCGAAGATTGTTAAATAGGACAATACTCTCCTAGTTCTGTATAGACTATTCTACTCTTAGTCAATGATATATATTGAAAAGTATTTGATTTTGCATTCAGAACTTTTACAATTGCTTAAATTTAACGATGAATTTGGCGATCTCGAGTCTTCACTCTAACTCTTAGCTCCTCACGCTATCGACTTGACTAACGAATCAACTTTCATAGGAAAGGAAAAAGAAAGAGAAAAGGAAATGATAAAGGTAAATGAAAAAATTTATTCTAGGAAATCATGATATTAATAGTATTTGTTCTATGAATAGTGATAAACGAAAATAGAATATTATCTCTGTTTCTCTGTATGTGTCATGATACTCTAAAGCTTTTACACTTAACGAGATAACTATATTAATAATAGCGACATAGCTGCCATACGCAGACTTTGCAGCACACTCGCAGAAAGATTATAATTCTACATGTTCTTCGTCACATTTAGCCCAGTATTTTTATATTTTATATATTAAATGTACTTAATTTTAAGAAACTGTGGTGATATTTGGTATTCGTTGATATCAAACTTCGTTTCGTAATTTGACAATTTTTACGACCGCCTAATTGTACAGCTAATGTCATATACATATATATATATATATATATAATCTCATTCTTAAATTAATTTTTTTACGAGTTTAATTCTTACAAGAGTTTTTCTCTCCTCGATTAAACTGGATCAAATTTATATATTGGTATCGCTTATTTTTAATATTATGTATACAAATTGGAATAAAAACGTTAGTTTATACAAACTGGATTATTAAGTTTAGAGCAGTCTTATTATACGTGCCATTGTACACATTTTCAACTACAAGAGAAGGAGAGATTAACACAAACGACATGACTCGAACAGGTGCTACATTTCAGGGATTAGCTCTTTGTTTGGACGTTACGATTACTTTGTAATATTGGCAATGATGTTTTATAAGGAATATACATACTACATTTTACTAGTGTAGTAAATAATTGCTATGTAAGATATAAAACAAAAGTTAGTAATCCGAAAATTATAACATTTTTTCATAAAAATAGTGCTAACATAAATGGATGTTTGACTTATTTCAAATATTCCTTTCGATCCATGTAAACGAAGTACACATATATATGTATATATACGGAGATGAAATATATATTATCTCCGATTTCATCCAGTATGAAATATTAAAGCAGCTTCTCACGAATCTGTCTCCGTTTAATCGATCTCGATTAAAATTTCGGATAGAAGTTTTCGTTGCAAATCAGGTACGGTGGCATCTTTAGCTGGATAACCGACTGGCAGAAGTAAGACGAGCTTTTCGTTCGATGGACGTTGAAGAAAACTGCGTATAGTCGGTCCACAGTTCAACGGGGTCGACGTAAGGGTCACCAAACCGGCGTACAACATTTAGAAAAAAATGTTCAATTAATTCAATTATATTTATATTTTATTTATATGCAATTGATTCGATTATTTTGTGAAAATTATTTTTAAAAATTATATAATTGAATATAAAGATATATCATTTAAATTGAATATTTAATTTGTATTCAATTATATAATTCAATTCAATGAAGTGTTTACAAGAAGAGTTTGTGATAATTCCCTTCTTGGGGTATCTCAAACTTAACGTTAATTAAAACACATAAATGTTGTAAAGATCATCAAATCGGCGTACTATATTAAAAAAAAATGTTCAATTAATTCAATTATATTTATATTTAATTTATATACACTTGATTCGATTATTTTGTAAAGTAAAAATTATTTTATGAAATTATATAATTGAATATATAAATATAATTAAATTTAAGTAAATTTATATTCAATTATATAATTCAATTCAATGAAGTGTTTACAAGAAATCGTCAAGTTTGTGATAATTCTTTTCTCGAGATAATTTCTATCTCAAACTTAACTTTTAATTAAATTTCTTAATGAATTGATGTGTTTGAATGTTTTTTGATATTTTATGTTAATATATATTTTTCGTAATTGTTACAGATTAAACATAATTTTTCGAAAAATTCTTGTAAAAAAAAAAAGGCTCCTTTCCTTCGGACAAAAGAGATTTCACCCCGATTTCTCGCAAAGGAAAATTATACCTGTATGGCAGTAATGAGGATCCCGCACGCGATAGAAACGCTCATCTCGTGATAATAATGGACCTTCCTCTTTCCATTCGGCAGAGTACCGTAGGTCTGCTTGAACACGAGTATCAGATACGGGGCAACGGTGAGATACTCCTTTATCTAGTTGGTCCTCAACGGAGACAAGTCGGTGGTCCATTTCATGCCCATCCTTTTCTTATAATTGATCTCCTCCTCCTGCTCCACGATACTTCTGATTTTGGATTTCACGGTCCGATTGGATATCACGACGAAACTCCACGGTTCTGTGTGCGCCCCGCTGGGAGCAGTACCTATAATAGGTTTTAAAAAGCACGGATGTGTAACTTGAAAACAGGTGGAAATTGTCAATTTTATTTCTTTTTTATCTTACCCGTGAACAAATTTTTTATACATGACAATTTGGAATTATATAGAAATATATTAAATTATATGTATAATCGCAAAATTATATATGAAATGTGTCCATATGTAATTAGATAAAAGGGCTTTTTATATATAATTATATAAATAAAAATATAAAATGTGTTAATAAACCGACCACAACTGGCAATGTTATTCTTTCAAAATTCAGACAACATTTCGACCTTAGTTCAGGTCCTTATCAAGTCTGCTAAGAAATAAATTGACACACTTCTACATAATAAAATTCATACTAAAATTCGTCCTACGTTTGTTGGACATTAACGTCGTGATATTAGAAAACGAATCAACTAAGCAGCCTTAATAACCAAATCATATATAGAATTTAAATTCTCTGTGTCTTTCTGAAGGTTGATCGTGTTTAACAACACGAAAATTTAACAACACGATCAACTTTCAGAAAGACACAGAGAATTTAAATCTTATATATGATTTGGTTATTAAGGCTGCTTAGTTAGTTCGTCTTTTAATATCACGACGTTAATGTCCAACAAACGTGAGACGAATTTTAGTATAAATTTTATTATGTAGAAGTGTGTCAATTTATTTCTTAGCAGGTATGATTTTTATTTAATAAATTTATATACATTGATTTACGCTATTTATCATTTTTTAAAAATGTGCTTTTTATTAATAATTTATCAACATTTATAATTATTACTTTTTGATTGTAGACTTGATAAGGATCTGAACTAAAGTCGAAACGTTGTCTGAATTTTGAATAAATAACTAAAGAATAACATTGCCAGTTGTGGTCGGTTTATTAACACATTTTATATTTTTATTATTATTTCACTGGCGATTTATATTAAATTACTCGTAATAATTATATAACTTATATATATATATATATATATATATATATATATAATAAATATTTCTTAATTCATATATCTAAATATATATGTTTCATATATAACTTGACATGATTTTATATATGAACCCTTATAATTTATATATATAAATTTATATAATTATATATAAAAATGGACGTATTTCACGTATAATTATATATAAAAAATTGTTTCTCGGATATTTAATTTTATATGTAAATATTTAGATATTTAAATATTTAGATATACCTGCGGCCCTTATAATTTCGTGGATAATTTCCTTCGGAACGGGATCCGGGCTAAAGTATCTTCAGGTACGTCTGGCGGCTGTCATTTGATAAAATTCTGACGCCCGAGACAGCGATTCCTTTTTGGGTAACCGGACATACCGATATGGTATGTGCTTGAGATCCTTTAGCAAGGCGGGTTCTTCTTCTTCTTCAATCAAGTCTTCATCTATTTCTGCAAGATAATTCGGAATATTTTACGCGATTGTGTTATTCGATATAATTTGCATTATAATATAATTTGTATTTTATATAATATTATTAATATTAATTATAATTAGTAATATTTATAATTAATATTATAAGTTATAATTAATATCAATAACATAATATTCGCGATATATAAGTTAGTAAAAAAAAGTATTGTATACTGTTTTATTATATTTTTAATTTTGTTTTTATTTTTTAGAGTATATAAAATATTCTAGCTCTTTTCATTTAGAAAATCGTGAAAAAGAAATAAGAATCATTTAAACACGACCGACAAAATCGAGAGATTTTAATCGTAAAATTAACAATCTTATCTGTTGACTAACTCACTGGAATTCCATGGCATTCACGCTTGTATTAAGTAAGGACACTCATCAATTTTTTCATTATTAATTTCATTATCCTTACTTTCTATTATTTTCTTGATTGCTTAGTATAGTAAAAAATTGTTTTTAGGATTTTAAGCACGAGGCATCGAGCGAAGCACTTTCATCTTCCACTTTCATTTTCTAAAATGAGACAAATACGACTCTGTTCCGCTCGATAACAGTTATATATACACAATGACAGATTACTTTCACTCGGATCCGTAGATTCGTCGGATGCTGGAGCGAGGGGCCTCTTCTGTGGTCTCCCGAAAATTTTGCTAAACAGAATGAGGGAAATGACGCCGACTAACAGGTGATAAAAATATTTCGTCACGAAAGGCGCGTATTCGGAGAACATCTTTCCGGTCTCTCCTTTTCGTCGCACAACAAGGAGGGAGCCTCTCTCGCGCGCGACTTTTTACTCGCTACTGATCCGGATCGGAATGATTTTCACACTCGACTCTCGAGTCATCAAGGTCGCAGATATAAGATATCTGAGAGTGATATCGGGAACGCATTCCGATAGCGTCGGGGGATAGAAAAATCATTATTCGAGCGTGTATTAAATTCGCCCGCGCTATTATAATGTCGAAACCGAGTGTCTCTCTTTTTGACATTTCTCGTTGATGCACAACTCATCGAAGAAACGCGTAAAATTGATGCGTCAGTCGTTTCGTGGAAATTGCAAACCTCTCTGATATACGCTATATACATTTGTATGTAAAATTTAAAATTTTGCAAACATATCTACCAGCTCGTTTCCCTCTTTTTCTCGTATTTTTCAGTAATAATTAACTCGATATCGTCGCGTGTTGTTTTTCAACGTTTGCTTACATCCAACATTGTTACGAAATTGTTATCGTAGATTTGTTACACATGAAATGACCGATCGATATATAGGAATAATAATAATAATAATAATTGCGCGCGTTTTATTCTCGCGAATGACAGAAAAAATCTGCAAAAACTACCAGTTTCAAAGGCACGATTGAAAACGATCCTTGTAATCTTCTTAATTATGTCAGTTTATGTTAGCCCGATGACAATTAATTCGCTTCGTTAAGATTTTAAAGTTAGCCAAGAGCATTTTTAATTTGCATTTTAAATACATTGTCTTCGTTATGCTACTAAATATGATGACCAAGAGTGAGTGGAAACTTTCCTCGATTCTCTATTCGAAAATTTCAAACAACTTTACATCTTTGCTGTATACATTTGTAAGTTACACAACTTGGTTCAATAGAATCCAAAAAAAAAATGGAAAGAATCTGAATGAAATTTTCTTTGTTACGAGATATGTAGCACATTTTTTTTTTTATATATGAACATGAAATTTTTGCAGGAGAAAATTTGATCCTAAACTTATCTATTTTTTTTTCTTGTATACAGTTTTCGTATAATCTCTGTTCTTTTAGGCCTGATCCTTCTTCCCCTTCTGTTCGAAAAAAATTACCGAATCAATTTATCAATTCACGTCCAATTGATAACGTGAAATTTTCACTCTCATTTCACGATTGGAATATAATGCAACGCTCGTCGTGTCGACCTTGATTATCAATAAGGAAAAATCGATACGCAGAATTAAGGAGAACGTAGTATACACAATTCTCCTCTCTCTCTCTCTCTCTCTCTCTCTCTCTCTCTCGATATAAAATTATAGAAGATATTCCGGCTGTACCCTCTTCGTCGCGCGTGTCGTCTTCTCGATCGAAAGGAATAATGCAATACTAAAAGCTGCCTTCGAGACTAGTTCGTACGAGACATAAAAAAAACGATGATAAGAAATTGTACAAGATTCTCCGGAACAGGACTGTGATATCGCGCACCCGACACAGGCGTTAGATGCACACAATCAAATTTCCTCGAATTTTTATATAATTCAATTACTCTAATTTATATTTCAATTATACGTCCAATTACCAGCGAATCATTCCAGCATTGATTAAATATTCAGTACAGAGCGCTGTATTTAGCTCGAAATACGGCTGCGAAGCACGAGAAAATTTTGCATCCAATATTCAAAGCAACTTTAATTAGAATCAATTTCGCATTTAATTACAGTACAATATTTTTCTCAATTTAAATTTTTACCAAAAAAAGAGACAAATTTCGAGTATGATGTATTTATCCAGAAAATTATATGAACGCATATAGAGACGCGAAAGTTTGAAGTTTTGCATCGAACAATAGCAATTTTATATTAAGCAGTGAATTATATATATTAAATATATATATAAAAGAATATATAAAAAAAATATATATACAATTATATAAAAAGAAATATATAAAAGAATATAATATATATTTATGTTATATATTATGTTATATTATATTATATATTATATAAGAATATATAAAAAAATATAAAATATACATATCTAAATATATAAAAAGAAATATATAAAAGAATATAATATATAATGTAACGTACAATATATAAATAATATATAATATAGATAATACAAAAAGAGGACGTAAATTCTGTCGTAGCGAATCTAACAATTCATCGTTCCCGCGCGTCCGCGATACGGGCCTGAGAGCTGTCAGCGCGACCAATCGGAGCGCTGCGCGCGCATCTAGGTGGTGAGGTGGCGGCGGGAGGCGCACTCGCGCTCTGCGCGCACAGCGGGTGGGCACGCAGTAGCGAGAGGTGCACGGGTCGAGCAAGACGTGTCCGCGCGTCCGTCCAGGCGCGGCGATATGTGCGGGCGTGTATGCGAGACGAGATCATGTGAATAAGATCCGCGGCCCGGCGGCACGCACCTTCGACGACGTCACAACATACGCGGTGTCGTGGTATCGCGCGCGACGTACAATTTTTCGAGGAGGAACTCCGTCGCGGAACTCAGCTGCACCTTCTGCACGCGCGAATCGGCCCGTTCGTGCTGCGCCGTCGTTATTAACTGTGTACATATATATATTTCTCGCGTACGTACACGGAACAGACACACGTGTGCGCGAGAAGACGGACGTTTCTCAAGTATTATGCGCGAATGGGCGTATTATTCTGGATCGAGGATACCGAATCGCTCGTCGATACGATAATAGTGCGCGCGAGAGACGGACGTCCAGCAGGAACGGCGATAACGGTGACAAGTGCGCCGCGAAAGGGACAGGGACGGAGATAGAGCGAGCGAGGGACAGTGTGTGTGTGTGTGTGTATGTGTGTGTGGGAGTGCGAGAGAGAGAAATTGAGGTAGAAGAGGACGCAGTGAGGGAATGGAGAACGCCATGCAGCCGCCACCCCCTCCACCAGCCTTCGACATGCCACAGAGCAGCAACACCGAGCAGACGGTCACCCACGAGTTGACATTCGGTAAGTCGCTAATCTGTCATGTTTCGCGATATCGCTCGAAAGGTCTTAGATAGACGCGATCTGACGTTTATCGATCGAAGCGACCAATTTTTCGTCCTTGACAGGTACAAATAATTCTCTCGCCCCGAGGGAATTGAACTCTCGCTCGCTCTCGGCGAAATTATCGTCGGTTTTTTCCCTCATTATATACATGTTTTCCAGACATCACTTGGCTGTGACGCGATACCTGTACGATATATGTAAAGCATTTCCGAAAATGTGTTACGCAACTGAATCTGTTGACACGCGCCGACAATCGTATTTTTATACTTTTCGCGAGAAGGAGAGAGAGAAGGAGAGTGAAGTTGTTCTAGAGAGAGAGAGAGAGAGAGAGAGAGAAAGATTGTGCGTATAAAAATATCAAATGTCAGTGTTATATAGCGAGTTTAAACTGACGGCAGCGCCATCAATATTACGCCGTCGACACGCGACGCGAATATGGTATAAAATTATAATTATCCTTACGGTATTTGGCACGAGAGAGAAAATTCCGCGTCGATTTAATTCCGCGGCGAGGTTACTCGAGAAAATCATTTAGATGTATTTTCGTGAAATTGCTCATTTTAATATCGACTGCTGCGTAAATCGACTTCTCTCTCTCTTCATATTTAGTAACCAATACACCTAAGCATATAATTCTACAGTCATTTTAATCCTGGGAGGGGATTCGTCGTAAACACGACACCGTCGTGAGATTTTTTTTCTTTGTCGTATTCGAAAGAGATACGTGGAAAAATCGAAGATTCTTTGTATCTATTTGCCGTATTCTAATCTCATGTTTTGCCCACTGTGACTTTATTAGACCGCTCTCTTTCTCACGTTCTTACAAAGATATAACGTGAGAGACATGCATGTAAACACGCATGTTTTTAAATAAGATATTCTTATTGAAGAGAAACCACGAGACGCACAAACATATGCGTTTGTCATATTTATTTACCAATGCCGGATGTTGAAAAATGTTTTTTTTTTTTTTTTTCGATACGATTTTTTGATAAAGCACAGCTATCTCTGCGAAATTGAGACCCTCTCACTATTCTCAGAGAATTCAATAAATATTAATTATAGAGTTCTGATTCTCCTTCTCAAATGCTCTAGATTTTTCTTCGAAAGCTGTCTTTCAAGAATTCCCTCGACAAGAATTAGAACTCATCAATGCTGATTACAATAAAAGGATTACAAATGAAATTTCTTGTATAGCTAACACGTAAAACTAGCGTTCATTTTAGATTGTAAAATTCATTTCAATTTTATTTAGTTATTTAATTAACTGCGTTATTTAATGTATTGAAAAATTTAGGAATCTTGGAAGAAGACAGAATTTATTTTATTGAAATTTTGCAAATGGAAAGCTAAAAGGTTGTTTTTTTGTTTTAAATTTAAAAATTTATATCTTTTTGAATTATCAATATTATGAAGATTCTGGCTTTCGAAAAACTGCACTGAAAAAATAAGT